TCACTTAAAAACACTATCTACCTAGAATTAAAACGAATTAGAGGATTAGTTTAACACATGATTACACTTGTACAATTCAGATTATAATAATACATCCCTTCTTTGAAGAATTTCAAAATGCTGTTCTGCAGTCAGGCAAGCAATCTGTTCACATGACAACAGAAGAGTATTTCAAATCTAATACAAACACAATAAAACAAATGGCCAATGCCTGAACTCTCCTAAGAAGAAACTGAATAGAAATAGGGGCATTTTTACCTAAAGAGCATAGGGATATTTTGGTGCAAGATGAATGCTGGGCTATACCACTAACTGCAGAGAGATTCACCTGCACATAGCAGGCTACAATCCACATTTCCACAGATCACAGAGAACACGACTCAGGTTACAAAGGTCAATACTAATTGCTTAGTGATACCAGCAACTCCTGTTTTACCAGTGAGAACCTTCCCACACATTCAAAAAGCATTAACACCTCTAAATCACAACTGATTTCTACAGTACCAATACACAAGCCAATAAAGCTATGCACTCGGCTTCATTTGATGTAACACACATGAAATAAAAGGAAGAATAAAGATTGTATCTACACTTTTGTTATCAGCAAGCATCACGCAAACACAGAAGGGACAGTCTGGGACCACAGATGAACAGTAGTCTTTAATATGGAACTTATGATTCCACTAGAAACCTTATTACAGTCTTCAGGGCTAAATTCCCCAGGCAAAGTGCTGCTCCCTTATGAGACAAGAAATTGATTCTCACCTGTTTACTTGAGTTTTAAGACCGTGTACAGTTTTAAAAGTAAACACTGAAGACTTTTTGCTCATCTTTTTTTAATCAGAACTTAATTTTTGCCCATATCAAAGACAAGTATATGTGGATTTTCTGGATGTTATAATGCACCTTTTGGGACCTCCCTAAGGCCAAAGTCTATTTCAATAAGAAACTTCTGAACAAGACTTCTGGATTCAAGATACATTGAAAACAAACAAGTTGAATTTTGCCTTTCTTGACTGCTGCACTGTCCAACCTCTCACTTTTTGTCAAGCCACAAACTGAGACTGAACTTGGGGTCCTGATTCAGATGCAAGTCAGATTTGCACCACGATGCACTACCAGGCCTGGAATAGAACAATATTACCTAGAGCAACATTTACAAAACAACTCCACCATCTTCAAAAATTTGGAGACCATTTCTAACATCCTTAAAATTATCTCAGCACACTTGTTCCTCCAGGACTAATAAACCAGAAGTCCAACTTGCTTTGCATCAGCATTAACACACAATTAGTGAGGGGCTCAAATCACTTAACTGGTGATTTTTACAAAATGAACTGGAAGAAATTCCTATTACAGCACTACTATACATGCAGAACAAGCCATTGATGTCAGAGTAGATTCTTGTATTACTATTAAACATCCAGGAACTGTATTTACACCAAAACAAAATGTATAGAACATTCTAACTTCAAGTAAAATATATAGTCTTCATTGAGGATACATTTGGAAAAACGTTCATGCCATTACTTCAGTCATCCTAGAGGTATTAGACAGCATTCAAGCCCCTACAACCACACTCCACCTGTACTCCTTTGGTCTTACAAGGCAATAGGGAAGCTTGTTTCCCATCCTGCTGTGGGTTGACCTTGGCTAGACCCTTAGCACTCCCTGATCTGTTCTATCATTTCTCTTCTCAGCAGAACAACAGAAAGAGAGAAAATATGGAAAAAAGCTCGTGGGTCAAGACAAACACAGTTAAAGCAAAGGACAAGAAAAAACTTACTCCCTACTTCCCACTGGAAGGCATGCTCAGCCACTTCCCAGGAAGCAGAGCTTCAGTACACGGAGTGGCTGCTCCAGACTACAAATGTCACAGTAAGAGCCACAAAGCTGTGTAGAGCGACTGGAAATTTCCTCAACATAAATGTTTCATTTCTTACTGGACTTGAAAGTACCAAAATGCTCCAGTTAAACAGACAAGTGTTTAAGTTATGTACACTGGATACGTCAAAACAGGTACTAGTTAGTTTCTTGTAAAAACAAACATTTAATACCTCAGTACAGCTGTGTTGTAACACAGTAATAACATTTATTCATTTTTTACATATTTCAAAGCTTCTAAAACGCTTCAGCTAAAAATAGAACAGAATTTACCTTTCATTAAAAGGTCCAAAAAGTAAAATATACATAAAATTTTTCAAACTGAACAGAGCAGGACTGAAAACAGCTTCTGATGCAGGTAGAAGAGGCGCTTCTACAGGTGTCATCACTACTGCTACAGTATAATAAACAACAGTGACAGCTATACGGATGCACGTGTCAAGGCCCAAGGTAAATCTAGCCTGTAACACACAGCACTATGCTTTGAAATAATTTGTTACAAAATTCCAAGAACACAACAGAAGTTGCTATTTCTCTGCACCTTCTCATAGTCTCATTTATGCCAGAGAGCCCAGGGAAAGAAGTGTTTCTTCTTTCTACATCCTCACACTTCAAGACTTCTGGAAGTGTTAGTGCCATTCTTGCCATCCACTTAACTCTTGCAATAGCACTACCTATGACTTAGAAGTGGGATCAAGAAAATTATCCATTTTTATTAACTTATGCAAAATTAGTCTGTCTTTATGCTCCCACAAACATTGGAATTCACTTTGACCAGTACTTCTCTACCCACAAAAAGTCAAGCAGTTCAAGATGTTTAGAACATCTTACACAAAAAGCCATATCACTAACCTACTCTCCTCCATGCTCTGCACTTCCATTTCCTGCTGTATTTTGCTTTGTTTTGAACAAGCTTTTCATACCACCCTTAATCTAGAAAACTTCCTATGAACATTCACAAATTCCCCCTTATTCAGAGAATCCTCAATGACTACCAAAAATATGGCAGTCAAAACTCACACAATTTAAAACAAGCTAGTTGATTATTATTTTCAGTTTCATTTTCCACAAGCCCTTATATATAGGTGTTTACGTGATTATCCAGCACCTTGCTCTGTGGTACATTGATGCTTTCTAGGGAGACAAAACATCCGCAAATCCATCAGTAGAGAGAAATCCATTGCTGAATGCATTTCTGAAGCTGAACACAGTTAAGAAAGAAAGTCCAAAGGCAACAGAGAACTGCAGCTCCTCAAGAGAAACTCCAATATACTTAAATAACTAAATAACCAACCACTTATACCCCACACAAGGCCTCCTCACTCAGACATTACAAGCTCAGGTCACCTTTGCCTTCAGTCCCTCCAGGCTGAGGGAAGAAAGCTAATCCAGAGGATGGAAAGAGGACAGGCAATATCTATCACCCTTTAAAAGTCAAGAGATCAAAGCTTTCTTACTAAGAATCAGCAAACCATTATAAAGTCAACTTAATTTCCAAGTGACACTAAGGAGCTAAAGTTCCTAATCAGGTAATGAAAGTATCACTACTTAGTTATTACACTACCTGCACTTAGTCCTATCCCTCACACATTCATATTCCTTATGACTCAAAATTTACTTGTCAAGAGGCAAAGATACAAAAAGGTGTTGAGAAACTTGTACAGCTATCAGGGGATGGCTTCCAGACGGCAGATTGTACACAGCTGCTCTTTAGGAATAGCACTGTCAGGAACAAGTTCTTGGTAGCAGAGTCACACACTGCTTTTCTCTAACACTTAACCAGATCAGTACAGAATCCCTCCTAGAAAATCTAAACTACAGAGCTCCCAACCCTCTATTCCCTGATTTTCCTTCCTAAAGTAGGGAAAGCACAAATAGTCTATACATAGGAAACTGTTAAACTCATCCCTCAATTAAGGAAAAATAAAGCAAGAAAATCTCCACTGTTGCTACCCATGTAGAATAAAGAAGATACTGAGAAAATGCGTCATTTATACTGGTCCTAAACCACAGACTTTTCCAGACAACTATGTAACAAGCCAGAGTTGAGGAGAAAATCACCTACGAATAAGTTGCTGCGATGCCCAGAACAGCAGCACCCTTCCAGAGGATATTCTTAGAAGTGCCCTTGGTAATACACACAATAAACCAGATAATGGAAATCATCACTTCAGCAGGATGTAAAACTCCCCTCTTTTCATAAAGGTACTCATTGTGTAAACTGTTCTTTGAACAATAACCCAAACATCTGCATTAATGAACAGAAGCCTGCTAAACAAAGCTCCTCCTTAGTCATGACAGGAGCCATCTGTTCATCCAACTAACCCCAGGCAAGTGTGGCAAGCAACACCACAATTTGCTCACACTATGCATCTTTCTACTCCACCTTTCAGTATGTGTTATTTGTGTTTCCAAACTGCAACAACACGGCATTAATCATACCACCAGAAGCACCGACACACACACAGACACCCCTACATTAAAGGCTCCAAACGGAAAAGAAAATTAAAAACTCTGGTGTTCAATTAAAATACACAAATGGACCATAGCCTTCTACACATAGGGATGCCAGCTTGTAGTTTCTGCAGTCATTCTTGTCCTGTTAGATGTACTTTCTCTTTTCTTCCTTCCTATTCTACACATTTTTTAATATACTTAGCCTAGCTGTTCTTTCAACTGAATGCTACTTTAAGGGGACACTTCATAGAGTTTACTGGATTCTACTCAGAACTCCCACTAAATTTTCACGGGTTAACCCTTGCATCCAGAAATACCTGAGTAGGTCCCGTTATTCCAAAATTCAGTGCCCTACTGAAGCGAATACCTTTTCGTGCATCTTGCCCACGCAGCTCTACCAGCTCCCTGCTCTCACTACTGTGGAAGGAAGCAGCTCATCCATCACTCGCCGCTGCTGGACTCGCCCGTGCACTGGCCAGACCCTGGTACCCACCGCAGACAACAAAACCACCCGCCCCGGCAGACACACGTTTTATTGTGTTGAAATCCGGCGTGGCCAGGGCCGAGAGGCAAGGGAGAGGGACCCGAGCCCTCCCAGCCCACGGCTGCGGGGTGTGCGGCTGCCGCCCGGAAAGAGAGAAGCGGGCACTGCTCCGTACCTGACCCAGTTGTCGCGGAACTTGCTCTGTTGGGGCTGGTTCAAGTAAATGGTGCGGGCTGGTGCCTCGTCCAGATCCGCCGCGGACGTGGCTCCGGACATCTCATCATCCGCCTTCTTATAGCCCGAGGTGGAACAGACAGGTCCTGCAAGGAGAGCGCGGAGGGCAGGCGGTCAGCGCGGGGCCGCGCCCAGCGGAGCCGGGCCGGCAGCTCCGGGCGGGGAAGGGCCGCGGGTGGGCGGCGGCTGCGAGCGCGCCCTGCCCGCTGTTTACCGCGGCGGCGGCTGTAAATAAATAATGCGTGTCCGGGGAGGGGGCGGCGGGGCCGGCCGCAGCCAGCTGGCGGCGGGGACAGCGCGGGGCCCGCGCCCCCCGCCCCGCGGCGATGGGCCGGGCCCCGCCCCGGGAGCACCGCCCCCGCTCCCGCCTGTGCCAGCGCCGCTCCCGCCGGGAGCCGCCGGGCGGCCCCCCCGCGCCCCGATCCCCCGCCTCCAGCCTCCGTGGGAGGGAGGCAACCAGCATCCCCCGCACCGCCGCGGGGCTCCGGCCCCGCTCGGCTCCTTGCTCGGCGCTGCCCGCCCGCGCGCGGCGCATCCCGAGCGGCCGAGCCCGAACCCGCGCCCGGGGAGAGCGCGCCATCCCCGCCAGAGCTCTCCCACTCCCCCGCGGGGGGACCGAGCTGCCTTCCCCCGCCCCGGGCACCGTACGGGGGCTACGGCCGGGCAGCTGGGGAGCCTGTCCCTTCGCTAAGGCTCAGACTGAATTGATAAAAATAAAGACTGTCTTGCTGTACACGTGCAACTTGAAAGCTTTGATTTTAAGCGGCAGAAGCGTAAAGTAATTTTCATTTCCCACTGGTCTGGAGTGAATTGAGTTCTATAAGAATTGTTTACCTTTACATTAAAAGAATGCAAAAAGCATAAGGGGAAGGAGCTACCTATTTCCTCTGTCAAGCCTCAAAATATTACCGAAGTTGTGGAGACAGATTTATTCATTTCCCTTTCCCTCCTGAGCCATGGAGATAATTTAATTTAGTTGAGCTGTAAATATATTAGATAAGAATTTGTCAGTTTATTAAATAAGCCATGGATTTACAAGCTAGCAGAGGTAGTTCTAGACAAGAGTATGACAACTTGTTTCATAAGAATGTAGTAAAGGTGTTATGTTAGCATTATTTGAGAATTTCACTGAAAGGTTAACAGAGGCAATAAACTGTCCTGTGAAGCAGTAAATTCTGTAAAGCCAAATCTATTTCCTATTTCTGTATGAAGATAAGACGAAACTGCAACAAGCTGATGTGATCAGATAGTAGTGGCTAAAAAGGACGCCTGCAATAAATCGGAAAGGCCCGTGAAGTTGCATCCTCTTTAACTAGAGTTTGAGAGAAAAACATCGGTCTTATACAACCTTAGCATATCGAACACCTAAGTACTCCTACTGTGTGAAAACCTGTCCTGTTTAACGGAATACACTTTTAAGCTAACATCCTACTCACGCCAGACCTTCCCAAGGCTTGGGTCTCTATTGCCAGTGCGAACAGGCTCGGCATTCTCCAGGCGCCAGCCACTGGAGGGCAACGTTACCCATTGCTCGTACGCCACAGGGATGCACACAACCTTTGCGGGCCCCATAAAGCCGGTGTAATTAACACACCGATGTGCTTTCAACAGCACCGCCTCTTGCCCAAGGCAAGGGTTGCACTCTGTGAAGTCGCACTTCGGAGACACTAAGCTGACTTGCACGTTTGAGGCTAATTAATTGATTTTCTTTCATTTCTGTTGATACCAATTCAGACAGCAAACATATGCCAGCTTAATCATTTTTACTTCGTGAAAAGAGACAAATTCAGAAAGTGAAATATGAAGACTATACACTATGCAAGGCTATGCCATTATGATACTATATTAAGCTACTCGGCCCGAAGAAGCTTGCTATGACACAGAAGACCACTCAGCAAGGCTATTTTCCCCTTCAGAAAAACAGAACTGAATGCACTACTGGATATTTGTTGTCCTTTGCCATTGATTTCACGTTGTGTAACTGCAAAGGAGATCAAACAACAATACTCTTAAGAGCATTAAGTGCAAGGAAGCAGCTTTCATCAGTTTTCCTAATCAAGTGCCAGAACAGAAGTGCAATTATTCTAGAACAAACATGCTGTAAAAATTGTTGGGTTTTTTGCAGAGACCTTACTTATTTGGGTTTTTTTTCATAACATCCCTTGACGAGTGAAATCTTCCTGCTGAATAGTTCTCCTTGCTGCAAAGTATTATGAAGCTGTCCCACAACTTTAAGGATTAACTGAGTCAATACAGCTGATGAAGTTCAGAGGTATTTACGTTTAATTAATGTACCATCCTTTTGGCTGCTCTCTTCAAGACAGGTGCCTCAAGGACAATTTGTCTCATTCTTTAAATGCGCTGAAATATTTTCAAAGCAGACCTACAAGTGTGTAGAAACAGCCGTAATAAGGTTTGGGGTTTTGAAAGTGGCTCAAGGCAGCTGCTTCAACTCTTAGTGGAATAATGCTCATTTTGGAAGATTATCCAATAATCCTGCCCATCAGGAACGCCTTCCACCTCCCTCCCCTGTTACTAAGCAGATCACATCCAAAAGCCTACAGACAGTGGCCTTTACTACTGGCTGTAGATCCTCTCTTTTCCCTGTATATCCAAAAAAGTTAAGGAGCCCTGATTTCTGAGGACCTCCTGGGTCCCAGGGGTCACACCCCCTTCAGAAGTATCTCCCCTCCAGGACACCTGATCACAGGCAGACCACCACTTCAGGCATGCAAAAGTAACTTCACCCCTGTTTCTTGTTTCAGAAAGGCTGTGGATAAACAAAGCAGACTTAACCACCTCCAACAGTTGTAGAACTTTAAACTGAAGGCTCAGCAGCTCTTATTCACAATAGCATTTACTTCTCCATATCCAGAGGAATAAGACTTATTGACTTCACTTAAGGGCATTCCAACTTGTCACTCTCTACCATAAGGCTTGGACCTTTCCTGTTATTCAGCCTAGGACTTAACACCGCTATGTAATTTATTTTTCATTGAACTATTCATGCTTCAATTAGTACTATTAATAACAGTCCATTGTATCTCATAGTCTCTTGATTTAGCGTGTTTAGTTACTTCAGATTTTGAATGTCCTAATCATATTGATCTTAAGTCTGCACCACAGAATTGCTTAGGTTTGAAAAGACCTTTAAGATCCTCAAGTCCAGCCACGAACCCAGCACTGCCAAGTCCACTGCTAAACCATGTTCCAAAGCACCACAACTGCCTTTTTCTTTCTTAAGCATCTTCAAGGATAACAACTCAACTGCTTAGATCCTTGTGAAATTTAAACATTGTCTAATACACCTTGCTTCAATTCTGAGGCATGAGACACTTTCTGCAGGACTTTAATACTGTTTCCCACTGTGCTTTACAAGTTCAATGAGTCAGACTTGAGTTATAAACTCCCTTATAAAAAGCCCATTCATTTATTCAGGGCTCTTACTTCACACTATTTAACGAGGTTTCTTCTAAAAAAAGATGGGATTAAACCTTGACAAAAATAAAGAGATTTTATAGCTTTCTCTCATCATTAAGAGAAACCAGACTTGATGCCCTGACAAATTCACATGGCTTTTATTATCACTCGAAGCACAATGAATTATGGTTTAATACCCTTACATCACTCATCACTCTGCCTGCAAAGATTACATTTTTTCTGTGTCTATGTGTCTCCTTAATGTCTGCTCAGTAACAGTCATAGATTCTGCATGATTGAGTAAAGAAAGTGTTATGAATTCTGTAGTGTTTTGAAAGATGAGTCACTTGGGATGTTGGTCAAACATCCCAAGAAGTCACAAGAGAACTCATGCTGAAATTTTATCACTTTTCACTTAAGTGGATCAGCCAGCTGGTTACTACTTCGAGCTTGGTGATGTGCTAATATGTGTTCCATTTTTAAGAACAATTAATTATAGAGCAATGAAGCCTCTCACCAAAACATCAGAACCACAAGCTATGAGAAACAGCTGGTTTGTGCAAGAGAAGTTCACCAAAGGCTTCACGCCATCTAGAATGAAAGCAATGTTAAGAGTGTTTACAGCCAAGAATCATACTTCTGATTCTGCTGCAGGACTAGAATCTAGTACAAGAAAGACCTAAAGGACACTGAGGTAAAGGAGCTGCCCTTATTTGAGAGCAGAGTTGGACTACCATGTCCAGGAGTCCTCTCACCTCAAACACTCTGTGATTCTAAGCTTGGACAGTCACAAGTCAAAGTTTAAGGAGCCATACAAAGTTCCCTGTATGCTCCCAACTGTACTGACATATCTTGGAATTGAGACAGCTTTCCTCAGAGTGAAAGAGAGCCTCACCAAAAGCCTTCAAACTTCCTCACTTACAGAAAACAGCATTTTTGTTATTGATTAAGCCTCAAAGAAAGAGTTATCCAAGCAAACACCTGAGAAGCTGAGAGCTGTATTTACAAAGGCAGTAGACAAGTTTGGACTTTTCCTTGCACCAAAATGCAAATTTGGCTCTCAACAAGTCACCTGGATTCAGTAATACACTCGCTTTCTAGGGATAACATTTTCTCACAGAACTACCATCACAAACTGAGTAGCAAAGATAACACCAAATGATGAGTTCTGCACTGCAGAATGAATATATGTCCCAGACCACTAGCTGGTCAGAGGTGGGGTGAGAGGCAGCAGTGCCACGGCCTTCTGGAAGCATCCCCAGCAATGAAGCGGCTCGGTGGCACAGGCACACACAGATGCAGTCACTCACGCACACACCAGATAGTTCCTTTAGAATCACCAACGGCATAGAAGCGGGAAGGGTCTGTCTATGGAGTTCCAAGGAGGAGGTTCATGCCAGCCATGCACAAAGGGGTCCAGGGACAAAGACAAGAAACGGTGGAGTGTCCATGTTTAAATATGGGGGACAGGGGGGTGGAGCAAAGCATCAGGGCCAATGGGCTGAGGGCTCAGGGGCGGGGCAAAAGGTGGCAACCAATAGGGTAAGGGGGGTGGGACACTGTGGCAAGATGGGGCCAATGGGCATGCAGGGAAGGAAGAACAATCTAGAGGACAGACATATAACGGGAAAAAGGGTGGAGAGGCCAATGGGCCAACCAGGGAGGTAG